TATTATTTCGGGAAGAAATGCAGGTTTTCATTAATACTCACTAATTTTCAAATACAGCGCATAATTAAGTAGCACATTTGAAGTCAAATATGTCTTAAATTGTTGACTTCAATAAAATATTTATGTATATGCTACTTGTTTATACTTTATAAAAAGCGATTGTTTATACTTTGTCTTGTTTTTGTTGTCTTTGTAAAGTGATTATGGTTTTTAGATTTCTTGCACCGTATATAATAGTAAAAGTTGTATTATGTCATTGAAAATAAATATTCATTAATATGCGATTAATCAGTTTTATTATTGTATACAAGTCAGGGAACACTTCCCTAAACTTCTATTGTTAGATAATAATAACACCAACAAATCTATATTTAGTTAGTACAATTCTCCAATAAACAATAATAAAAAAAAATATATTTGTTGTTTAATTTTTTTTTATATTGTATTGCAAAAAAAATTTTAAAAATTAAAAATTATATAAAGTTATAATTATTTTGTTTTGTATTATTTTAATTTTAAAAATTTTAATATACAATATTTATTATATACAATAAAATTTATTAAAAAATATACTTACAATAGCTACAAAAAGAATTACTTGTGATATTAATCAAGATTCTTCAAATAAAAAATTAAAATGGATAGATAGAAGCTTATTAAAAGAAGAATTAAATATTAAAATTGAACAATTAAAAAATGATCTTTAGAAAATGAAAAAACTTTAATAGCTTTTGACTATAATAAAAAAAGAGCTATTTATGAATATTTAAAATTTTTGAATAGTGAAAAAACAAAAGTAGCAGCAGGCAATCAAGCTGCTAAATTAGTATATATTAAATATACTGATAATACAGGAAGAACTATTCAAAACTGGGCTAAATATTGGCTTGAAAATAATAGTTTGCAAATATCTAAACAAAGCAAACATAAAAAAATTATTTCAAAAATTGATGATGAAAGTTTTGTTTTAAAATGTAAAAATTGGATTAAATTACAAAGCAAAACAACTACACTTAGTAAATTTAAAAATTATGTTAATGAACAATTACCCAAACCAATATACTTAAAAACATTAGCTAAATAGTTAAATAAGCTTGGATATTCTTATCAACCAGTTAAAAAGGGTATATAGTTTATTTTTATTTATTTATATAAAAAAATTATCTAATAATTATTTTATTTTATTTTAAAGGAATTTACTGGGATGGTCATGAAAGGCAAGATGTAGTTAAAGAAAGAAAAGAATTTATTAAAACTATGGATAAGCTTAAACCTTTTATAGCTAATTTTGAAGGAGAAAATTTAGAAATTATTACTTATCCAGAATTAAATGAAAATCAAAAAAGAAAAATAATCATTGTTCATGATGAAATGTCAGCTAGATCTACTGATGGTTATTCACATCTATGGCAACTATTTGAAGATTTTGAAGTTCCTGTAGATCTTATAGAAATCTCTAAACATTTAAGCCATTCAATTATGATTAGCAATTTTTTTATTCAAGAAGATGGACCTCTTAAATTTAATAATGAATATGCATATACATCTTTTGAAATTGGAAAAAAAATATTAAGAATATTGGACAGCTGAAGATCTTGTTAAACAAATAGAAAAAAAAGCTATTCCAATTTTTGAAAACGATTTCCAAATTGTACTGCAGTATTTATTTTTGATAACTGCCCTTCTCATAAAGCATATACACGTGATGCTCTTGTTACAAAAAGGATGACCTTAAGTGATGCAAAAAAAATAAAAGTGATAAAAAAAAGAGAGAAATAATTACAAATGATACTTATTTTTATGCTGGATCTGATAAAATAGAACAAATAATGCATAAAAATAAAATTTTAAAAGGAATGGAAACTATATTAAAAAAATGTGGATTATAGAAAAATAAATTAAAAGCAGATTGTCAAGAATGTAAAGATAATAATTTTGATGATAATAGAAGAGATTGTTGTGCTT